ACTCTTTTGACATCGGACCAACAAATCGGAAATCGCCACATTGGATCGGAAATCGGAAATAGGAGCTCGAATCGGAAGCGGACCACAACATTGTTTGGGCGTCGGATCGAACCGGCCCGGCCCAGAGGCCTCAAAGAAGCAGGCAGGGCTTCTGAGAAACCCCCTGCCCCGCCCTCGTATAATGCCGCCCCCCATACCGCCACCCCTTTGTGCGCGCCGCCCCGCCAACTGGGGGCGGCCGCCTTGAAAAGTCTCCGTCGACCGCGTGGGGGTGACGGGGGCTCTCTTTCACGAGTTCGGCATTTATTTTACCTAGGAATGCGTGGCGTCTTCGGGCTCCAGGATCCTATCGAGCGAGCGAGCGAACAGGAGGGAAAGGGATGCGCGATGAGAAGTATGAGGAGCAATGTTGGGGGACGAGGAAGCATGGAAGGTTCGGGGCCAGGGGGGAATGCAAGGACGCAGCGCTTCCGAAGAACATCCCAATGTAACAGCGTATGTTGCACTCAAAATTGTATGCGAAATGCATCAGCATGGCAGAAGGTTTTTTTACGCAGCGATGTGGGTCCTTCCGCGTTCGGGCTAGATCGGGCCAGTGACTAAACAAGCACTGTATAGAAAATGAATAAGCTGAGATGCAGCGATCCCGCCCTCACGCCCCCCCCTCCCCCTCCTGACCGTGCATCTGGGTGCAGGAGGACCCTCCCCCCTGAGGGGGAACCGTTTGGGGCGGACCCGCTCCGGGCGGGAACCAGAAACCTGGAATCGGCGATGCATCACCGATAGATTGGCGATGGACCCCCGATTTCGAATCCGCACGGGCCTGGGCTGGGTGGGGCTATCGGGCCCCTATCGGCGGTCTGTGGGCGATTGGGGGTCGAAACGTTCGCCTCTGTGTCTCCCCCCCTCAATACGCTGGGAAGGCGAAATCACCATGCCCCAGCATAATTGGGATAGTCCTGACGATCATGAAAATGTTCGGATGACGGTTAAAGAAAGCTCGGAGGGAACCGACACAACAAAGGGTGCCCAGGCCCAAGGTGTCCCCAGGACTTCCAAGCAGGCCCACACGGCCTCCAGAATACCCCTCACGCGGCTAAAAAATTACCCTGCGACGTACCCAACCCACGCGCATCAAATGGCAAGAGGACTATGCCAACATTAGCAGGAACAACGACAGTGTAGACGCGGCGATTTGCTGTGCAAGCTACATGGGATGCGCATGCGTTGCACGATTCACAGGACGACGATCTAAAGAACGAGGATTGAGGCCCCAAGATCGAAGAAGAACGGGTACGGGCACGAGGGGTAGGAGAGGGATGGAATGGAGGGCGGGGGGGGTGGGGGGGGCGAAAGGCCATCGCGGAAGCAGCAGCATGCATGGAGAAGGTGAGGCGGGGAATAGGACGACGATGAAAGTGGCGGGAGGAGACAGAAGACTGCCGCGTTTTTCAAGTGCGAGCTAAACCCGCAGCGCTGCCTGCGCCATGTCGTCGCAGAGTTCCATATGATAAAACTTGTTTAGAGTGCAAGGAACGAGCGAGGCGTTGCTCGCCCGCTAGCTTCTCCGCCTCCTTCCCGCACATTTCAGCGCGGGAGCTGAACGCTCGCAGGCGCGCCGCCAGGTCTGCGGGCGGCCCGCGGGAAAGAAACTCAAGGCCGGGGTCGCGCATCATCAATCGGTTGTCCATCGTCCAAAGTTGCACTGGCGACGTACTGGTTGAACGCGGAGCGAGCAGCATCACGCGCGTGCCTGAACGCCACGCAGGTACAGTGCACGCGCGATTGGGACTTCAGGTCGATCACGCGCGTCTCCACCAGGCTTGGCAACACCACGCGACTGAGGATCTCACTGCGGTCTGCCATGCTGCTGTCCGCGAATGCAATGCGCTGCCTGCAAGTAAGGCGGCGGCGTCCACTTGTCTCAGAAGATGTTCCCGCGGGCCCGAAGGGCGACCGCCAGCTCGAGCCGCGGCGCCGGCAGGCCAGATAAGGATCATGCAACAGCAAAGACGATGACAGAGCAACGAGGTATCGGCGAGTGCATGACAGGCCTCCGTTTCCTGCACTTCTTTCCTGTAGTTCCCCTAGCTCATCGAGCTCAGCAGATGTTTCTGCGGGTCCGAAGGACGACCGCCAGCTCGAGTCGCAGCGCCGACGAGCTGCATCCACATCAGGCAACACCCCAGGAGACACTGGCACACAACGATTTGACGTCAGTCAGTGCCAGACCACTCCATGTCTAGTTCCTCGCACACATACAGTCGATCGCAGATGCGGGATAATCGAAGTAGAATGACGGGTCCAATCTGCGTCCGCGTAGGACGTCACTATGCTGGACCCCGCAGCAGGTTTCGAAAGTGGCGACAGTTTCGTGGGCCCCACAGCAGCCCTCGAAAGTGGCGACAGTTTCACAGATCGCAGCCCCCCAGGGATGGCGAGGTCTAATCTGAGTCCCCGTAGGACGTCACTCCGCTGGCCCCCCAAGCAGCCTTCGAAAGTGGCGACAGTTTCACAGATCGCAGCCCCCCAGGGATGGCGAGGTCTAATCTGAATCCCCGTAGGGCGTCACTCCGCTGGGCCCCCCAGCAGCCTTCGAAAGTGGCGACAGTTTCACAGATCGCAGCCCCCCAGGGATGGCGAGGTCTAATCTGTATCCCCGTAGGGCGTCACTCCGCTGGGCCCCCCAGCATCCCTCGAAAGTGGCGACAGTTTCACAGATCGCAGCCCCCCAGGGATGGCGAGGTCTAATCTGAATCCCCGTAGGGCGTCACTCCGCTGGGCCCCCCAGCAGCCTCGAAAGTGGCGACAGTTTCACAGATCGCAGCCCCCCAGGGATGGCGAGGTCTAATCTGAATCCCCGTAGGGCGTCACTCCGCTGGGCCCCCCAGCAGGCCTCGAAAGTGGCGACAGTTTCACAGATCGCAGCCCCCCAGGGATGGCGAGGTCTAATCTGAATCCCCGTAGGGCGTCACTCCGCTGGGCCCCCCAGCAGCCTCGAAAGTGGCGACAGTTTCACAGATCGCAGCCCCCCAGGGATGGCGAGGTCTAATCTGAATCCCCGTAGGGCGTCACTCCGCTGGGCCCCCCAGCAGCCTCGAAAGTGGCGACAGTTTCACAGATCGCAGCCCCCCAGGATGGCGAGGTCTAATCTGAATCCCCGTAGGGCGTCACTCCGCTGGGCCCCCCAGCAGCCCTCGAAAGTGGCGACAGTTTCACAGATCGCAGCCCCCCAGGGATGGCGAGGTCTAATCTGAGTCCCCGTAGGGCGTCACTCCGCTGGGCCCCCCAGCATCCCTCGAAAGTGGCGACAGTTTCACAGATCGCAGCCCCCCAGGGATGGCGAGGTCTAATCTGAATCCCCGTAGGGCGTCACTCCGCTGGGCCCCCCAGCAGCCTCGAAAGTGGCGACAGTTTCACAGATCGCAGCCCCCCAGGGATGGCGAGGTCTAATCTGAATCCCCGTAGGGCGTCACTCCGCTGGGCCCCCCAGCAGCCTCGAAAGTGGCGACAGTTTCACAGATCGCAGCCCCCCAGGGATGGCGAGGTCTAATCTGAATCCCCGTAGGGCGTCACTCCGCTGGGCCCCCCAGCAGCCTCGAAAGTGGCGACAGTTTCACAGATCGCAGCCCCCCAGGGATGGCGAGGTCTAATCTGAATCCCCGTAGGGCGTCACTCCGCTGGGCCCCCCAGCAGCCCTCGGAAGTGGCGACAGTTTCACAGATCGCAGCCCCAAAGGGATGGCGGGAGGAGGCGGGAAGGAAGGAAGGAAGGAAGGAAGGAAGGAAGGAAGGAAGGAAGGAAGGAAGGTGGAGACCGCAGTGCTCTATTCAAAACGAGTACCCAACGCAGGAGGGTTGGGAAAAACATCAGCTGTGTCCAGACGTAAGATGTCCAATCTTTGATCACTACGCGGCCCCCGAAATCCCGACCCTTTCCCCAGGGCCCGTTTTCCGTCCCGAGTGAGTTTCGGGGCCGGGTCGGGTCCCCCAGACGCCGAAAATTGCGCGCGCTTGAATTGGGATTCTTCCCCTTTCGGCGTCTGGGGGATTGGATTGGGATTGTGACCAATCCCGGTGCGAGCGATGCTCCGTCTGGATCTTTCAAGGCGTTGCAAGTCTGGGTGGGCACCCGCTCCAGTGCGCCTAGCGCCGGCGCCGCCCGCCGGCTCTGCAGAAAGTGTGCGCGAACACCTTGGGCCAGGGACACGTTCGGCACCCCCCCAACTGGCGTCCCCCCTCCTCTGGGCCGATCCGCTCCGCACGCGAGGCGCCATCGCTCTCGTCTTTGTCGTCGCCCTCGTCGTCGTCCCCCGACATCCTTTGACATGATGGTTTCAATCCGCTGCCCCACTGGCGCCACCCCCTCCTGAGACAGCCTTTATATAGACCTCTTAGATGGGGTCCGGGTAGATGGGGTCGGAGGATCGCGCTGCATTGCCGATGCATCAGCGATGCATCGGCGACGTCGGCGTGGAGAAAATCCAGCTCTACATCGAGCCGCATCGCCGATGCTTCGCCGATGCATTGGCGATGCGACACGATCCTCCGATCCCATTTGCTCCGACCCCATCTGTTGAGGAAGAAAGAACGACCATAAACATAAACTTTTGGAACTCCGTACAGATTCCCTGGATCAGTGATGGAAAAGCCTCTCTGGCGCGCGCAGCGCGCCAGAGGCGGCGTCAGGAAATTCCTGCACATATCCAAACATTCCGCGCAGAGCGCCAAAAGTTGATGTTTGTTCCATCCTTCCTTCCTCGAACCTGGGAGACCTGGACCTCAGCAACCCCCGCCACCAGCTCCCCCCCTCCCCCCTGCGGGCAAGACTTGTGTCCACATCCACTGCAGCTTGGAGTTTCGGGCTCCCTTCCCCAGAAACCCGAGGCGCACTGCATATGGATAGTGATCTGGCAGTGCGCCTCGGCCTTCTGGCGCCCATTGCAAGAACGCTCAAGACGCACTGGATATGTTGCATATCAGTCTGGCGCCCCTCCCCTCCTCCTGGCCGATCTGCTCCCGCACCAGGGCGCGACGCTCTGAGGCCTGCGCCGCGGCCTGCTCCTGCGCGGCCTGCAGCTGCGCCTCTGTTTCGGCGAGGCGCGGGCGGCGACGGCCGCTCGCCGTCGGGGGGGCCACCAGTCGGCGGACAGCCCCGGGGCAGGGAAGCGAGCCTTCCCCGATGACGCAGACGCCTGCGCGTAACGGCCTTTTCGCCTTCTCGCTTTCCCCGCCCTGGGCGCGCCGCCGAACTATGGCGACGAGGCCGAGGACCACTTCCGTAGGCCCGCCATGACATGCTCGACGAGCGCAAAAATCACAAACACAAAAACCGCGATCCTGCAACAGAGAGCCCGCGTGTCAAAGCAAGAGGGCATCAACCAAAAATGTTCAAAGCACGTGTCGTGCAAACAAGCAAACAAAGGTCCAGTCTGGGCGCGAGTTTTCCGCGACTCCGCCGTGCCACCCAGGAGCCCACGAGAGTGACGACAATTGCGCAGTCCGCAACCCCCCCCAAGGACTGCGAAATCCGCCGATCCGGCGTGTGAGTTTCAAGGAGTCTCAGCTACAGCCTCGAGGCTGAGCTTCAGCCTCTGGGGGGGTCGCCGGGGTGGCTCTGCCGGGGAAGGGGGGGTGGGGGGGGGGGGGGGGGTGCGAGTTTCCGGCGAACCCCGGGGCCGCTCCGGGGGAGTGGAAGATAGGGGGGGGGGGGGCGCCATGCTCCGCTTTTTCCGGCGCTTTGGAGGAGGGGGGGGGCCCAAGAGACCCCCAAGGGGTTCCAAGAGGGCCCCGAGTCGCCGAAAAATCGCTCCAAGACGCCCGAGATGGCCTCCAGACGGCCCAAGGTGTCTCCAAGACGCCCCAAGAAGCTTCCAAGAGGCCTCCCAAGAGGGCCCCAAGAGGCCAGAATCGTTGATTTTCATTGGTTTTCTCAGGGTTTTTAGCGTTCTTGCCTTTTCGGGCGTCCGACGCTCGAAGACGGCCCAAGAGGCCCCCAAGTCCGTCCCAAGACGGCCCACGATGCTTCCAACACGGCCCAAGAGAGCCCCAAGACGGCCCAAGAGGGCCCCAAGACGGCCCAAGAGGGCCTCTGGACAGCCCAAGAAGGCCCCAAGAGAGCCCCAAGAGGGGCCCAAGAGGGGGACCACGAACCGAAAGAACCGAGCTTTCCGCCCCAAGAGGCCCCCAGGAGGCCCCAAGAGACCCCCAAGGGGCCCCAAGAAGCCCACAAGAGGCCCAAAAGAGGTTCCAAGAGGCCCCAAAACAGCTCCCCAGAGGCCTCCAGACTGCCTCCGGCAGGCCCCCGGTTTCTTCCGCGGCACCGCCCAGGGCGCCACCGGCAGGATGTCCTCCGTCTCATCGTTTTCCTTCAAGTTATCGCCTCTTCCTCATTCTCCTCCTCCTCCTCTGCGACCTCACTCCTATCCCTCAACGATCGCGTCACCGAGTGCCTCTTCTTTGAAACATCCTCGCTCTTCAAACGCACATCCATACACACATGCATACATACCTACATTTAAACACATTTGCATACATAGAAAAACAATCTTCCAGACATACATACTTACATTCACACACATACACACATATTATCATACACACATACAAACATACATACAAACTAAATACATACATACGCGCACAAGCATACATACATACATACGTACCTACACACAGGCACACATGATCAATGCATGCATACATGCATGCACGCGTACATACACACACATATATCGTGAAACTCACCGCGTGCTCGAAACTTGAGAGAGACCGCGGGAAGTCGAGAGAAGCCGCGGAACGAGGCCTCTACTACTACTACCACTACTACCACAACCACTACTACTACTACTACTACCACTACTACTACTACTACTACTACTACTACTACTGCTACTACTACTACTACTACTACTACTAATACTACTACTAGTACTACAGGAGCGTTTCCCAACTAGTATGTGTGTGTGGGTGATGCTGTGTGCGCATGTCTGCGGCGCAGGTTAAGTGGTGTGACTGTGTGTGTGCGTTTGAGTGTGCGCCCATAATTTCTGCGTCTGGAGAATAACCCCGAGCGACCCGGATCGGCGGCACTGGCCGAAGGCCACTACAATCTCGGCTGAGTGCGCGTACTCCGCGACTCCGCGGTGCCTCCCAAGAGGAACGGAAATGGCGACCAACATCTGACTCAATCGATCTCACTATCGACCTCACTCAACGGGACACCATGGGACAGAACGGGACACCACGGGACACTTGTCGATCTAACTATCGATCTCTCTATCGATCTCACTCAACGGGACACCACGGGACACCACGGGACACCACGGGCCACCACGGGACACCACGGGACACCGCGGGACATCTTTCGATCTCACTATCGGTCTCACTATCGATCTCACTATCGATCTTACCCAACGGGACACCATAGGACACCACGGGACACCTCGGGACACCACATCGATCTCACTATCGATATCACTATCGATCTCACTCAACGGGACACCACGGGACACCACGGGACACCGGCGGGGCACCGCGCGGCACCGGCCGCCAGAGGAGAAACATTCGCGGCCGCGGCCCAGCCACAGGAGGACTTCGGGATCCCAGCGGGACACCGGCGGGACACCGCGGGGCACCGGCCGCCGGAGGAGTTGCATTTGGTCCGGCCGCGGCCCAGCGGGGCACCGGCCGCCGGAGGAGTTACATTCAGTCCGGCCGCGGCCCAGCCACAGGAGGATGTCCTCTCTCCCGCCCACGCAGCTTCGCCTCGCCCGCACGCACGCACGGCACGCACGACACGAACTCGAAACCGAAATCGATTTCCCGGTAGGGCGGGTCTCCGTTTCACGTTGATTTCACCCCCCAACCTCCGATAATTGCGCAGTCCGCATCCCCCCAGGGAGCTGCGAGGTCTTGGCTGGGCGCGCGTACTCCCCGACCCCGCCGTGCCCCCCCCCCGGGAGCCCACGAACGTGGCGACAGTTGGGCAGTTCGCGAGCCCCCCAGGGAGCTGCGACGTCTCAGCTGGGTGCGCGTACTCCGCGACTCCGCCGTGCCTCCCAGGAGCCCGCGAATTTGGCGACAGTTGTGCAATTCGAAGCCACCCCACGGAGCAGCGCAAGATGCAGGGGAAGGGGGAGGAGGAGAAGAAGTTGTGCGACCGCAGTGTTCTATTCAAAACGAGAACCCGGCACAAGAAGATTGGGGAAAAAGTAGACGCTCACCGACTTGACGATACCCGATCTCCCTACATTGCCAAGTCAGAACCGAAGTCTGCGTACCCAACTGTGGAGGACTGAAAATTCACACGTCCCTGGCGCACGGCGGCCCCAATGAAATGCTGCACCGAAAGGTCTCCAACGGCCCGGAAACGTCATCTGATGGCCCCGAAGGACATGCACGATGGCCGCACAGGAGTCCGAGGCAACCCACGTAGCCCGCGTGATAATCACTTTCACGAGGTAGTCGTGGAATATCTCATGTCACGGCCGGTCAAGCAAACAAAGATCCGACGCCATGCAGACCGCTGCGCTGGCACGGTGGTGAAGCTTGTTGCGGGCACTTACGTATTCACGCGGTAGCGCTACGACTGTGTTTACCGGCCAATGCCGCCAACGCTTGGGTCGTGCCCCATGTGTTTACATAGGGCGCCCCCGCTGCTTGGCAGCGCCACGGTGCTTAACTATCGAAGGGACGGCACACTGCGAACAAAGGAGCGCGGCACGCGGGATTTCTGCTGCCTTCTCCGAACAAGGAGGGAGGACGAGGGATGACGGAGGACTGGGAAGCAGGGATAAAGGGGCCCTGGGACACACAAGTAAATAGACACAAATCCCAGGACTCCCCACAATTTCCAATAGTTTCTATGTTTTCGTCTTACCCCCATTTCCTATATTTTCCGATATTTTCTTGGGAGTCCACGATTAATAGTGTCTGTGTTTTTCCCCTTCCTGGACGAGGTGAAGGAAAGTATCTGAGGGCGAATGGGGCAGGAGGAGCAGAGGGGCGCTATCCCGCCCGCCACGCGGATGCCTCCGATCCCCCAAGGCGGGAACCATGGAGGAGGAGGAGGAGGAGGAGGAGGAGGAGGAGGAGGAAGAGGAGGAGGAGGAGGAGAAGGAGGTGGAGGAGGAGGGAGCATCGAGGAGGACGACGCAAGCGAAACGACATCTTCCACATATATTCCAGATGCTACTGATTGGGGTATGCGAGCCTTCTTCAAGACACTACTAGCACGACCCACACTGAATTGACGAATTCCTCCAAACTGTTTACAAAAACTACCCTCCGTGACTCCGCCTATGCACATGCCCATCAATAACAATAGAGGGGCACTGGATTCCGGACGGGGCTGCGCCTGGCGTTGGGAAGATAGCAAGCAACATCGATCTTCGAAAACCACGCTATCCATTTCAGGCGATTCCCCCGCGCGGGCACGCCACCTCTCTGCCAGGGCTGCTTCTGAGGAAACCAAAAAGCTACGTCTGCTACACTGACCTCTCCCGGGGTACCCTCTGACCAGAATTTCGAAGCGAATCCAGCGGTGGCGATAGGGACTTCCAGGAGGCCCAAAAAGGTGAGAAAGATGGGAAAGTAACGAGATAGGTATCTTTTCCGCCTCCAACCTTCAATGCACGTCATCCCCTTGCCAGGGCTGTTTCGGTGCATGCCATCCCTGAGGTGAGGGACACAATAGCGTGTGACAAAAAAGGCGAGCGGCGCCACATCGCACGCCATCGTCCCAACGCCAAGCGTATGGTTGACATCACTTTGTGCTTGGAGGCGGCCGAGGGGTCTGAACTGGATGGGGCCCGAGATAATTTATTACGGAGGGAAGGAACGAACGAAAGAAACCGCACCTGGACGGCGCATTGGTAGATTGAATGACAACACGTGCGTTTCAAACAATTACCCTGGCGAGGGACCCAACCATGTGCAGTTGTGAGTGACGCAGTTGTGGGTATCGACCACCTCGGTGAACCTCTCTGGGGTCACGACGCGTGTGACGGGTGTGCCAAAATTGGCACGGGTACGCCATGCGGACGCTGCCACCAGAGCCGTCGGTGGAGCACCCTATGGGGCCG